GGGAGGGCAGCGAGCGGGCAGGTGGTGACCGGCGACAGCGTGGCATCTGTGGCCCTGCTCTCGCCCCACCCTGGCCCTGCTCCTGTGAAGCAGTGGTGTGGGGTGACAGCACTTCATTTCCACCCGCCCCTGTGTACCCTCTGGAACCTTTCAAAGTACCTGCAGGGATACACAGTTGACAACCCCTGACCTAATACATATTACATTTCCTTAATATACTATAACATGAGTCGTACAAATTTCTTTGCTGTTCAGTTTAGTAACTGGAATTTCACACAAGGCAAGTTCCAATAAAGCGAGATTACGGGAAACAAGTGGTGGGAAAATCATTGTGGAAGAAAAACTGACAGGGAAAAACTGAGCTCCTAAAAAGTATTAGTTGTTAATGGATTGACCTTAAGCTGATGCTGAGTCTTCATGTCTCATTTACATCTCTGTCAACACATGCACGGTATTGTTTCCTTTGACAGCAGAAAACTTGGTCATGTTACTGTGCAATGCCTCAGCTATACTGAACCTATTACAGTTTACTGCTTTGCTAAGGACTACCTCCTCCCTTCACCATAGGCCTGCACTGCCTATAGCCCTGTGGCAATCAATGACTTGTTTCCTGGTACTGGTTGTGTATGGCTATGTATGTTTGAGTAGTACACCACCTTCCCATCTCATCTGGCCTCCTCCATGCATACCTGCTGTTTAGGAATTAATAAGCCTGAATGCTCTCACCTTTGCTATTCTGTTGGTGCAATTTATCTTCTATAAAAGTCCTTTCAATGTCTTGTCATAAATAGCACAATATTACATTAATAATAAACAGTATAGTTCCTAGATAGTACTTATCTTCCTAATTTACAGTGTGTATTTTACAAAGAGAGGTGAGTATCATAAATCCATTTTATAGATGGGGACACATGGCTTTTTCTGGGGAGTGACTACACTAGGATGAAGAATACATGATGGACTGTTTTGGTATGAAGGTTTTGTTGATGGTGAGTTTAGATAGCTGCCTTGCTCTCAGAGGAAGAAACTGTGGCCACAAAGAGACATTGCATTTGTCCCGGGATAAACCATTTTATCCCGTAATAAAGTGTTATGGTTCAGACAGTCAGGTTCATTGTGCTGGGATAAATCCTGAAAAGGTTCATTGGATAAGAAGTACTAACAGTTTATCCCAGAATATTGCAAAGTACATCTAAATGTTTATCTTAGGATTGCATCATTGAATCAATGACAGAAAAGCGGCAGTTCATTCAGTCACTCACTAAATCTTGATTGAAGGGGTAATGTGTGTACGTGCCAATCCCAGCATGTTTCCATTTGGGATAAACACAGGCACAATTTGTCCAGGGGCAAATGCAGTGTCTGTCCTTAGCCTGTTTGAATTGAGTATATGGTACCAGCTTTGTCTGTCTGATGCTTGGCAGCAGTTTGGAAGAGGAAATGCTGCTAATATTGCACATTACAAATTAGCATTTTGATTCAAGACTGGCTAGTCTGATCTGAGAAAATATAAAATAAGGAAGTTTTTAATCAATAAGAATTCACTTTTTTTTCTAATGACAAGCATTTTTAGTAAGTGAATAAGCTGACATTCTAGCGTGAAGAATTTTGACGCATTAAACGGGGGCGGGGAATAGATTGAGGCACTTGTGACAGAGTTACACTCTGGAGGCAACCTACAGATTTTATCAGAACTAGCACTGGGACTCTGGTGTATGGATACCCAGCAGGAACTTCAGCTTGTGTTCTCGTTATCTTGCAAAGAGAAGGCATAAAGCTAGTTTGAACTAATGAAGGGTTTATAAGAGTGGTGATTTTGAGCTGTCAAAAGAGAGAGCCTATTGATGGGCATGCAAGTGGAAACTAGATGTCGAAAATTCAAACTTATTGGAAAAGTGAGAGTTGGGAAGATAGGCAAAGGAAATTAAAAAAAAATCCCAAAGTATATTCTTTATGATACAGATGCCATTTTAGGGTCATTTAAATTGTAGTGCAGAGCATACTAGACAAATGGAGCCTTATTGAAAAGAGCTTTAATAGAAATAAATTTGAGGGTGGGGTTTGTTTTTTGATTTAAACAAGCACAAAAGTTGGTTTTAAATTTCAGGTATAGGGGCAAAAATGGATCAGAAATTACAGGGCTGGGATTAAAACACATAGAATAATGAAAGCTATGAGCAAAAAATGGAGGAGGGGAGCGTGCTCTTTAGTAATCAGTCATGCAGTCCATTGCTTTAGTGAAAAACAGCTTGCTCAGAAAGCACATAGTACCTTTTTAAGATTCCTGCTTCCATGAATAAAATGTGTGCTGTAATCATTGTTTTCCAAAGAACATTTATATGTAAAACTTAAACTACTTGGTATCAAGAGAAGCACATATTTTAAATTAAGTTTCTTCTCAAATTGAAAAAGGCAGAAAATTCCTTCTTCAAAGAAATGCTAATCTGTATTTGAACTAAGGTGATAGTGAAATGTCTCAATTGTTTATCTGGCCCCATTTTCCTGGGTCCATTTCAGTTGTTTCCTGGATGTTTTTGGACAAAATTGAGGGAATATTTATTATACTCAGTGTTGCTTGAGCACATGCATATAGTATGAAGAGTAGTTATTGAGATCGCTTTGGAAATGGAATATCTAGTTTATATATAGATCTTGGTTCAACAGATGTATATATTAGTATCATTTCTTCCTGTATATATTTCCTTTTGAATCAATCATAATTTTAATCTATTAAAATAATCTTTTGTTTCCCAGTTTGTCTTCATTAGGATGAACAGAAGTCTCATCATTCTACCTTGGAGATATTTGATATATTCAATGATATTTAATTTTTTACTGAATATGAAAATCTTAATTATTTGAATTAGAAAAGAGTGGGCCAGACGTACCCAAAATTCTTACTTATTGCAATGAGAATCTTGATGTACAAGTAGATTTTTAAGTACCCGTGTTTTATAATTGTTTGCTTTTCCCCTGCAGATGGAAGTTTGGGCTTTCTGGCTCTTACTTTTTTGTGGCGTATTTTCTGGAGAAGTTCTTGGTTTTCCAAATGGAGGAGTCACCTCAGCTTGTGATTCTGTGCTACCAGGACATGGTAGCTCTGTTCCACAGACCACCTCAGCACCTTACTATATCTCTGTATCCAACACCTCCTTTGGTCCTGGAGACAGGATCATAGGTAAACCAGAACTGAGTGATTTGGGTTGTTTCCAAGTGATCTAAATGAAAATAATTTTTAAAAGATAAGTTATATTGTCCTTTTAAATATGCAAGAAGTTTATTTTATCCCAACCATGTGAACATGTAAGAGTGGATTTGTTTAATATTATTTAAAATCTTGGAGTCCCCTGTGATTCAGTGGTAGAATCCTTGTCTACCACATAGGAGACCTGGGTTCGATTTCCAGACACACACATACAACTACAGTCGTGGAGGCACCAAACATCTGGAGTCAGTCTGGTCTCTGGATTCTGTCTCAGTGCCCTAAAGGGAGTATGGAAGGTCTGGGCAGCCTCCACTCCTCCAAAAATTCCTGCCCAGGCATATGCATTGAAGGTCTGGATGGCCTTCATGCGTACACCATAATCCAGGAGGATCAACAGTTGCCATTTAAAATCTTAGATCCCAGCCTTATCAACTTCTGCATTTGTATAGATAATAGTTCCTTTGATTCTGAGGACTAAATAATGAAGTTAAAAGTTACATGGGTGTTTCTGGGATTGGTGCCTTCAAGTTTTCTCCTTTGCCTCTTTTGTCAAGTCACCAAAACAGCCAATCCCAGAAGAATAGGGTTGGAATGAACAAAACAAAATTTGTTATCCAAAGTAGAGAGACAGAGAGACTCTTGGTTTCATCTTAATGGCTATTTTTTTTATGCAACATGCTGCATAAAAACTAAATGTGTTGTACTTCAGTGAGAGCAATCTCCTTTAGTGGTTTTACGTTCTGAATTCTAGTAACACAGGTGCCAGATGAAGTCCTAAGAGTATTCACAGGGGAGTGCCCTCAGTGTTTTTTGTACCATGTGCTGGGTAATAATATGAAAGGATTCCACACCTGTACAAATAAACCAGTTCTTTATTAAGAGAACTGTCTATGGAGATGCTGCAACTTTATCTACCATTGCTAGCTGCACATATGCAGCCTGCCTTCTGCAGGTCCTTCTCTCCTACAACCTTATTCCTCCCTCTAATTTCTAAATATGCTTTCTATCTTTCCTTTTAATAATTTCTATTGCTGCATCTTCTCTGCAAGCCTTTTCTGACTTCCTGGAGCCAGGGATTACTGGTATGAAGCTTTAAAGATATGCTCTTTACCAAAGGTCCACTGCAGCCTTATAGGTAGGGACCTACTTAAATCACAGTTTTGTGATTTATGCAGAAACCATGAATAACAGTGATCTCTGTGAAAAATGACATTGGCTATGACTCTCTAGGAAATCATAAATCCCAGGAAAATAAATAAATAAAAATGCTGGCTTCCCAGCAGGAACCAGCAGTTCTCACTGTTGCTGTGACCCAGCCTTGCAACCTGCCTTGGGAAGGAAGGTACCAGCTGGTGAGGTGGCACAAAGGGCAGCAACCAAGATGGTGGCTGCCCCCTTTGTGTTTCTCTGCCAATCAGTGTCAAGGGGCTAGGCTTTTCAAAGGGCAGCCAGAAGTCAAGATGGTGGCTGCCCCCTCATCCCGAGGGGTGGGGCTGCTGTGAAATGACCACAAAATCAGTTCTTCGGGCTGTAACCAAGCCATGGTAATTGCTTTATCACTGCATGTTAGGCAAGTCTCTATTTACAGGTTTCAAGTAAGCTGCCTTTGAACCAGTCTCTCACTTTTGTTTGTGGCATTGATATTGATGGGGATCTGCTTTTATTTGGTTGCTGCCTTTGTTCTGTTAGTTTTATTTTGTTGGTGATGTATTTTGTAGTGCTACAAATGAATGTGCATGCATAGCTTTAGAGTTAGAGTACTTTAGGACTAGTGCTTTAGTTACAATTTCCTTTATTCTTTTGGGCATGCATTTTTGGTTTTCTGACCATTTTCATTCTACGTCGTATGTTAACTGTCTCAGTGATTAACTGTTTCTGATAAGTGCTCACAGATTCTGGAACGAAAGTTGATTATTTGGATAAATTGGGGGATTCTCTTCATAACTTTTGATATCAGGCCTCTGGACAGTCGTGCTTTTTGAAGTGCTCCAAATACCTTCAAAGTACTCTAGAGAATGAGTGTACACATGTACATGACTGATGAAGCACTTAAGATGGCTCAAATCTTTAAAAATGAGGAACGTCCTTGAAGTGCTTCCTGAAACGTTTGTTGGCTCCAGTGGCCCTCCTGCATCCCACAGTGGTCTGCTACACACACTCCCAGCAGCATGGGATAGCCACCAAGTTCTTGCTTTCCTGTGTGCTCAGATGATCTCAGGAACTTCCATAAACCCTGGCTGGAATGCAGTGATGCTCTATGACTTCGCAGCTGTTTTGAAGTGCTCTATGGCAGGGTTTCTTAACCAGTGGGACATGCCTAGGTAGGACTCAGGTTGTGGTGGCAAAACCGGAAGTGCCACAGTGGGACTTCCTGTTTTGCTTTTACACACTTCAATCCTCTGGGAGACCCCCCCCCTCCCCCGTGGACCAATGGGACCAGGATTTTTTGACCTTACGTAGGTGGGACATAAAGTGCAAAAGGTTGAGAACTGCTGCTCTAGGGCATGGGGGCAGAGAAGAAGGTTGATCTATCTGTATGGTGCTGAATTTCAAGTGCTTCAGGATTCAATGATCTGTTTTGGAAAATATCATATTTTAGCCATTTTTGGAAAAATAAACTTCATTGCTAAACAAGAAAGAAATATTTCTGTACCTCCCTGCCTACTTCAGATCTCTGACATCTTCAGGAAAAAAAACAGCCTGATCTGCACATCAAAGAGCAACTCACACAAAGGGACTTTCATTGACCCAGGGGAATATACATCCAGCCGCAGCTTCCCCTGTGCAAAAAATGAAGTTTATTTTCTACATAAGAGAACTTTACAGTCTTTGATTTCTCCTGAGCCTGAAGAAGGGTGTCTGAAAGCTTGCAAAGAAAGAACTTTTGTTGATATTTTAGTTGGTCTAATAAAAGGTATCACCTATGAACCAAGAGTTTTGTATTTCAGGATTCAATGTACTTACTTCCAGTGCATGTAATATCATGGCCTTAGCATTAACTTAATGGCCCTCTGAGATCAGTGGCTGGCCCTCAGAAGTCAATAGCTATCTGATGTGGGAGACTTGCATTCTCTTCCACTTCAATTTGTTTGCATTCATATCGCATTTACTAATATTCCACTCCTGGAATATCTTTAGGGTTGTTTTAGCTTGGCATCATAGTCTCAGATTACCTTCTCTTTGATCTTTCTTCCTTTCAACAGTGTTTACATGTAGGAGTTCCTCTACTGACTTTCAATTTACTTGGGACAACCGTTGAAACCAGTTGATGTTGCCAGGCATTTGTATAAAGGAATACTTACCCAAAGATGAGGCACAGGTTGTCAAGTGGCTGGTTACCAGAACATGTTCTTAACTTCACAAGCAGCGAATATTATATTCCTCTTTGGAAGTCTTGGCACCCTCATTTACCATGCATATAATTTTCTTTGCCTGGTCGCTGCAGAATTGGGTCATAGATGTCCTGTCTTTTGCATCCTGTGTCTGTGATCCTGAATATTCAATAATGTTTCTGTCCAAGTTATTAGCCTGTGTGTTGGCTCTGCACTAGAGCCTGTCATAAGTTAGATCCTTTGCCTGGACAATTACATTGGTCTTGCTGTTTGGATGCATTTCTCTTGGGCTGCATTTCTTTCTCTCAACAACCTCTGCTGTAAGCTGGAATCATGTTTCCCGACAAACAGCCCTGTCTCTAATTAGGGAATCTTTTTATCCTCCAAAGATGCCAGAGATCTCAATTCTGTAATATGAATGTCTATTTGCCCTTCTGCTTCTTTGTTTTGGATACAAAAAATCTCTGAGGTGTCATTTAAAGCATGCTTCAAATTCTTTTATCCGTTGTTTCAGTCTTTAGTAATATGAAAGTTAATGATGCTATAATTATCTGTTCTCATGTTGTTAGTAAGTGGCATGAAGTAACATGTTTGAGAACAGCAAAATAGTTTAAGTAACATAACATATTTCTCCCAGTGACTCTGCAGGCAAACGACAGCTTTAGCTTTAAAGGATTTTTGCTACAGACACGAACAATCCTTGGAGATGTTGCTGTTGGTACTTTCCACGTTATAGATGCGAACACACAAGGTCTTTTGTGTAACAAAATTCTGGTAAGTGGTTTCATTTTTAAAAGTTTGTCTGACTCTTATTAAACTATTTTACTGAGATTACAGAAGAAGAATGGCAAACGTCTTATTTCTGCAGTTACTCATGCTATTGGATATAATCTCAGGTTTCTCATGCTTTCTGTGGAGGTGAGGTACAGACAGCTGAAAGAATCTTACTTCGTCATATGCGGGGCCTGGGCCAGTTCAAGTCAGCGCTCAAGGACGTGTGCAGCGTCTCCCACCTGAGGCCACAGTGGGGCCAAGCCCACGGAGACCCCCTGTCCCTAGGCTGCAGCCTGTGACCTGTTCTGCTCCCGTGACACACCCACCTGCGGAGTGCAGACACCAGCCCAAGCTTCCCTGGCTGGAGCCCTGCTGCCTTTTCACTGTTAATCCCTGGGTAGGCAGGTCCCCAACTCAGGCCAGGCAGGTGGGGTGGCTGGGGCTGGTGGAAGCAGGTGTGGGCCAGCAGGAACCATCGGCGGAACTATGAGGCCAAGAGGAGCCGATGCCTTGCCAAGAGCAGCAGGGCCTGGGCCAGCAGGTGGTGTGGAACGAATTATATTTATTTACATTAAACCCTATGGGAAAATGGGTTTTGCTTTTAATGTTCTTTTGCTTAGTGCTCATTTTTTCCAGAACCAATTAAGAAGGCTAAGCAGGAGTTGCCGGTATCAGTAATTTCTGGATCAAGTGTTCTTACGTTGTTCTAACTGCCAGCTTTTGCTAAATTATCCTGGATTCTGAGACCAAGCTGAGGTCAGGGGTGAGGGGTGTTGGTTTTGTTTTTTTCTTGACAATTCAGATATCCTTAAAATAAACCATGTAATATTTGTTATTTCTATGAAAATGCACAGTTATGTATATAGCTAATTGTTTTAGTAATCTGGTGCTTTGACCTCCATTCAGAAAAGAACTCTTTTCATCTGGGATGCCAGGTGAAAAACTCAGAGCACTACTGGAGAATTTAGCTGGCTACTGGGGCAAAGATCTGTTGGACACTGATGCAGAATCTTTTTCCTTGGCTGGTTGAGAGGGTTGCAGTTACTTTCCATCATAACCACTGCTGGCCATACAGCAATTCAGTGATTTCAGGGGAGATTGCCTGTCCTCTTATTTGCAGGGTGAATAAAATTTTTATAATTGCAGCTGTGGATGCAAAGTAATAAAACTGCATTGTGCAGAAGGAATAGTTGGCTTGAAATGAAAGGCCAAGTGAAAGCTAATAAAGTCAGTCAGCTCTAACCGGATAATATCCTGGATCGCTGCTTTAGTGAGATGAGGACCTCTTGTTGTTTTAAGGGGGAAAGTGCATAGCTTTTATGTCAGCATTTGATTTTTTTTCCCTTTGTAATTGCAGAATTCTTCTCTGAGTCAAACAAACCCTGGAAGTAAGAAAATTATAAGAGCAATTTGGGTAGCACCCGCAGACATAGGAAATGTTGAGTTCAGGTACATTTTTGGTTGCTTTAACATACCAATGTTTCATGAAGAAATGGACATGAATTCATTCTGAGTGGTATTATGAAAATGTTTTAAGAACCATCAATCATTCTTGTACCTTAGAGTACTTATTTAACTTTAAACATATATATTTTTAAGATACATTAGCTAAATGAGAGAGATGCTTCTTAGTCTTATCTTGGCTCGTAAGTAGTTTTCCCAGAAGGTATTCTTAAAATATAATCCCATTTTTTATCTCTAAAGGCGCATGCTGCTATCTATATGAGCTGTTCCATAACAAACACTAACCTATATGAGGTGCATCTCCTGTCTTGTCAGAACATGTCCCAAAAATGTACTTCACTGATCACTTTTTCTTTCCAGAGCAACTGTTGTTCAGAGTTTGAATGTATTTTGGACTGATGTCAAAAGCCAAACTCTTATATCTTCTAGCCACCCCCCTCCTGTGGTAAGTTGTTTAATTTAAGTACAGTTGTGAATGGATTGTTTCATAAACATATGAGTAACCAAGTTAAATAAGCTTCTGAAAAAAATAGAATTCATGGTATTTTTTCAAAGATGGCTTGGATTGAACAGTATTAATGGGACTAAGCTCTATCTCATGTTTTGTAATTAAATAAACTGAATATAAATTAAGTTTTGGGTGTTGGGATGGTTTGTTTGTTTCTAATTTTGCTTATGGCCCATTGTAAATGGCCTGATTTTATCATCATTTCTTTCCTCAAATGAGAATTGCAGATATTATAGCACTGCTTTTGAGTTTGGCTACATTTGTCAGTTTTTTAATTCAAGAAAGCATGATGCTATAGGTGTCTCATAAGGAGCTAATAAGCAAAGTCCAGGATTGAATCCTTCCCACCCTATTAGATGTTACTTAGAACAGTGGTTCTCAACCTTTTTTGTACCAGGACCCATTTGTAAATATCGATGGCCAGTCCTGACCCAGTGCCTCTCATACCTGACCCACTGCTCCCCTCCCCCAGGACCCAGCTCCCCAGTGTGCGGGGCAGGGCATGGGCATGAGGGGTAAGGAGGATTGGGGTGGGGGCAACCAGGAATTCTGACAGCCTGCAAGGTAAAAGCCACAGTTTTCCACATTTTTCTCCTATCTATTTCTTAAGTTTGTTCCCTTTCATATATTCTTGGAACCCGCTTTTGGGTCATGTCCCACGGGTTGAGAAGCACTGACTTACAGCTAAAGGTGCACTGATACATCAGTCCCATATTGGATCGACACCGATACAAGGAAATTTGACATATCGGCAGTTGGCTTTTTTTGGCTGATGTGTCAGTACATGCCCTGTGCATGCACGCAGCCACAGCACAGCATGCAGATGGCCAGGAGAATAGCCCAGTGGTGTGGAGAGTAGCTGGGTCCAGCTGGTAAGTCTGTTCGGGTGGGGAGGAAAGGGAAGGGCCATGGGGGTAAAGAGTGAGGCCCCCACAGTGAGGGAGGGAGCGGGGCTGAGGCAAGAGCAGGGGCTGTACTGCCAGGGCGGGATGAAGGACAGAGCCACGAGCAGCTCGTCCAGGTGATGCAGGGAGGAGGGGCAGCTCCTGGCACTGCAGGCACCCTGGGAGGGCATGGGGGGCGTGTGCCCCTGCATCTGCCCGTGGAGCGAAGGTGGGGTGCCACTGCGGGCTGAGGTTGGGGTAGCGCTGGGCTCTTCCCAGAGGGAGGGCAGGGCTGGGCTGGGCTGGGCTGTGGTCAAGGTGGGTGGCAGTGGCACTGGGCAGGGAGACTACAGTGAATTCTGGGGTGGCTGCAGCCCCTCCCCACCTCCATAACCCTCCTCACAGTGGCACAGCCACCTGCCCCAAGTGCAGCCTGGCCAAGCCCCACCACTGGGAAGAGCCCAGCACTGCCCCAGCCCTCCCTGCCCTCCCAGGGTGTGCAGATCTGGAGGCAAATGTCCTCCATGCTCTCCCAGGGTGCGTGCAGCAGCGAGACCTGCCCCTTCCCCTGCAGCCCCTGGATGAGCCACTTGCATTTCCTTCCCATGCCCTACTGTAGCCCCACTACCTCCCTCACTGCGGGGGCCTCAATTTGCCCCCCCACACACATCTCTTCCCTTCCCCCTTGCCCCTTCCCCAACAATAGACTTACCAGCTGGACGCTGCTTTCCAAGTTGCCCAGCTGCATATTAGCAATCAGATTGGTATCAGCTGGTATGTCTCATTAAACATCATTCATAGCCGTCGGTATTGGCCAAAAAAACCTCTATCAGTGCACCCCTACTTAGAGCACAGGTCTCTATCCCTGTCCATTACAGACCACTTTGTGCTGTTAAGTCCAATACAGTTTTCATCACTTTGAGGGTTTGGAAGAAGTATTTTTCAATGGGCCTTTTTGGCACACTCTGCAGCTGCCCAGTGTGACGACTTTTTGTGTTGAGAAACACTGCTTTAGTGAGGTTGCAGTATTTTTAATTGATTCTTTTTCTGTGAAATATTTTGAGGTTTTCACATTTTCAGGAGATGGAAATTCTGTTTTCCAGCCTGCTATGCTCATTAGCAGTCTATAGTAACCAACCAGAACATCTTTTGATTTGTTTGTTTGAGTAATATTGTTCTTAGCAATATACTTTCCCGGTGTACATGATTCTTTCACAAAGACAAAATTATTAATTTAAAATAAGCATTGGCTCTTATTATAGACAAAACTAGGGGAATTCAAGGCAACAATCTTCCTCAGCCCCTTTTATTCACAGATCAGTGGTTAAGGCAGTCATTCAGGATATGGAAGACTGAGGTTCAAGTCTCTCTTGCCTGACAGGTTTTGAACTCATATCTCTTTCCTCCCACAAAAATACCCTAAGCACCAGGATACAGATATTTTAAAACAGAATTTTCTTGGTCTGTCCTCTTGATACACATCAACATTTTAATAAATAATTAAATTAAACTATTGCCCCGGTGTCCCACTTCCTGGGTGAGAGTACCATAACCTCTGGGATTTAAAATCTCTCAAGTTAGCTCAATGAATATTTAATTATCCCATGCAAAGTGGAACAGGAAGGAATGAGAGCATACCTACTGCAGAATACTCTGCTACTTACAGTGGTAGTACATTTCACAGGGAGGTGTGAGACTGGAACTCACAACTCCATAGGTAGAGACGTGAACTGAGCCCAGGTCTTCCACACCTTTGGCACATCTACCTGTGAAATGTATTCACTGCAATAAACTCGGGTGCAGTTCATGCCAGAGTGTATTGCTCCCAGGCAGAGCATTTACATGTGTGCCTGGGACCGCAGCACACTGAGCCAGGGCAGAGCAGCCCCGGCTGGCAGGGGGGCCCAGGGTCAGCCTGCCAGCCTGAAGCTGCTCTGACCAAGCTCGGTGTGCTGTGAAGGGGTTGGCTGGGGCACAAGAGTGCTGCAGTGCAGGGCTAGCCAGCAGGCGTCCCTGCACTGTAGCACCCTCATGCCTCAGCCAGCCCCAATCAGCCTAAGTATACACATGTGTTGCAGTGGAGTAAATAACTGCCATAGGATAGTACTTGTATTGGGCAGTATTATCCTATGGCAGAGTTAATTATTTCACTGTGCCCTAATAGCACCTCACATGTATGCTGATGCTTTACTGTGGAGCTAATTAGTCTGCTCTGCAGTAAATGTCTCATGTACACGCACCCTGAGTGCATGTTCTAACCACAGAGTGATTGAATAAGAGGGGGGCTGTTTTCCCCTCCTTCCTTTTGGACAAGCAGCTGAAAATGAAATCTTTTATTTTGGATTAAATTGAGCATTTTGTTCAATATAAGTGTTTAGCTTCATTTTTAGTTATCATTTTAATGAAGGAAAAGATCAATTCTTTTTAATTTTTTAAATTTTTTTTTGGTCAAACCAAAATTTCTTCTTTTCTGACAGCTGAATCAAAAAATTAACTCTCACAGCCCTATTTCTAAGGGCTGAGGAGTTGAAAACAAAGTTTTGGTTTCATATATACATAGGAAAACATGGTCTCATTTAGAAAATACTGCTTAATTAACTTACAGTGGCTTTCATGCTGTTGTAATTTCCAGACTTCTGGACATGTGGGTTGTGGCACAAAGAAGTTCTGTTTCAGCAGCCCTGCTGGGTGTAATTCAGATGATCCAAGCTGTTATTTCATGTCTTCTGAGGCAGAAGGTGGAGATGCTTTTAAATTTGAAATGAGTGGCCTGTCTGATGGATACATATCCATTGGGTTTTCCAATGACACGGAAATGGTAAGATACTATCACTGAAAACACCTGTGAAAAAGCAATACAGTTATGTTATGGAATTTACAAATACTTTGCACCAAACTATTCGGTGCTTACAAGGAAGTGAATAAGAGGACCTGTGCAGAAACAAAATTCCATTAGGTTTAGCAAAACTTGCAAAGATATTGATTTTTAAAGGCCACAGTACACTGTATAACATGATATTGTTATAATACTACAGTGCCATACACGAATCAAATTCCATTTAATTGGCATGGGTTACCAGCTTCAGTTTCTTTTATTGTTTTCTCCCTCTGTTTTTTTTTTACTACTGTTACAAGATTCTGCATGTGCACTTTGCAGTCAATTTGAATGAGATATACAAAATACAATATATTGCCCCCCCCATAAGTAAATGATGTCCCTTATTTACTGAATTTTATTATCTCTGCACATATCCTGTGCTGATGATGTAACACTGTATCCTTGATCTGGTAAATTCCAATAAATTTTCCGTTTTTTCTTAATGCATCGTATTATGAATATCATCTGTAGGTCAAAGATGGTCAGGACAAGACCTAAAAACAGGAACCTAAAAATTAAGCAGCTTAGTAAGACTCCATTTCATCAAGGCACTAGAGGAATGTGGTCAAGTATTTTTGCTCAATTTGGATCCAGTAGACAGGTTTTCAAAAGAGCTGAATTCCATATAGCTCCCACTGAGTTGACTGGACTAAATATGGATTTAGTCTCTAAATATGAGTATATGACATATAAAAATATTAGGCTCCTAAATCTGTATTTATAAATGAAAAGCAAAGCTATCTGCAGATGATATAGCTGAATAATAGAGTTTACAGTCCTAGTATAAGACAAGAGACAACAAATAGAAATAGACTGCAGAGTACAAAGAAACAATGGGATAGTGTTGTTCAGCCAAGGCAGTGGTCTCAGCACACAAGCAACCTCACTATTGTTAAATTTTTTGTAGGCATCATGAAAAACAAGTCTTCAAGATAGACAATAACTAACTGTTGTGAATATTTATAGGGAACTCCTGCCAAAGACGAGAAAAAGCAGAAAGGTTGTAACTTAAAAATTTAACAGATGGGTAGTAGCAGATCCAGGATGGCAAAAAAGATGTGATGGCACGGAAGAGCTCCCTGATCATGCATCCAGTGACTGAATGGATGCCCTCGGTGGCAAACTAGGGGCAAGGGCAGGGTGTGGCCATTCCACTACACCCCCCCAAATCTGCATCTGTAAATGGATGTTGGAGGCTGCCCTCAGGCTCAGTGGAGGCAACAGTCATTATCTCAGTAGATGAGAGATGATAGGTAAGGTAACAGTAGGCTTTGAAGGGCCTTGAAAGTGAACACAAGTAGCTTATCTTTGTGATCGAGAAGGAGAGAGCCTATGTAGAAGGAATGCAAAGAGAGGATTGAAGCAGTGAGCTCTGAGAAGATGATCTTTGTAGCGGTATTCTGAATGAGGACGAGTAGGATGGAACTGCCAAGGACAGAGAAGTTGCAGTAATCGATATGTGAGGAGATTTGAGTTTTGGTTGTTGGCTATCTTAGAGAGGTTAGGGAGAAAATATACAAGATTTAGATATACAGTAAAAGCTGCGCTATCTGGCATCTTACAAGCCGGCAAGCTCTACTAACCAACATGCCAGCTTGTAAGGTAAAGTGAAACTGGAAGTGCCCACCGTGGGCTGCAGCCTCCCCCTGCCCCCCCTGTAACCTCCCTCCCAGCACTGCCGCTGCGCACCCTGAGCGCAGCCCAGTCCCCACTGGGAAGAGCCTCACGTGGCCCCAGCCTGCAGCTGTAGCCCGCCCACACCCTGCACACAGATCCGGGGGCTCACCCCCCCCACCCCCCATGCCCTCCTAGGGTGCATGCAGCAGCAGGAGCTGCCCCCTGCTCTCTGTGCCCCCCAGATGAGCCATGGCTCCATCCTGCACCATGCCCTGGCTGGGCAGCCCCAGCCCCACTCCCCCCCTCACCACAGAGGCCTTGACTGCTCCCCCCATGCCCCTTCCGTCCCCATTCCCCTTCTAGCACAACAGACTTTCCAGCTGGACACAGCTCTCTACACTGCCAGGCTGTGCTCCTTGCCACTTATGTGCTGCGTTGCAGCTGCGCACGTGCACGGGGCTTTTATTGGCCAAATTATCTGCCATATCAGGCAAAAAAAGTTGATTTCCAGTGCGATATCCGATATCGATCTGATATCCGATAGGTACCAATATAAAGAAAATTGACTGTATCGGTGCACCTCTAGAAGACTGAGATCTGTTTTAGCCTTGTTAAATTGGAGTTAACACCTGCATAGCCACTAGGAGATATCGGAAAGGATCAGAGTGGAATAGAGATGCAGATCTCTGACTTATTAGCACAGAAAATATAGCTGAATTCATTGTAATGGAGGAGATAGGGTACTAAGGACAGAGAGCTCTGGAATTCTCCAAGAAAAGTTGGGCAGTAGATAAGGATCTTTCTAAAGACATGCTGAAGAACCTTACTAGGTAAGAGGAAAAGGGGTCAGGACGGCATCATGGAATATAAGGAAGGCCAAGATTTCCATAAGAATAGCATGGTCAGCAGTGCCCAAAACAGCTCCCAGGTCAAAAGGAATGAGCATATGGTACTGCTTCCCAGCATGCTAGAAGAGCACATTAGAGATTTGTGTCAGGAACAGTTTCAGTGGAGCTCAAGGACTAAAGGCTGAAGTAGAAGAGCTTGAATTGAACTGGAGAAGAGAAGTTTCAGAGATTGTAAAAAGCTCAGCCAAAGAGCTTGGTTTACTGCTGTTATGTGGGTTAAGTTTTATGGCCTTGTGCCTTGGAAATCCTCATCAAAATCTGTCAGCTTTGCCTGCATGCAAGTGCAGGATAGAATTCTGTTTGTGCTTTATCACCAACATGGATAAATCTGCTTTTTAGGGGAATGATGACATTTATATTTGCACCAAGAATTCAGCAGGACAGATAGAAGTCCAACATGCCTTTTCAACTGGACGAATTACTCCTGAAATTTTGCCTCTGGTAAAATAATTTTGGGTTCATTTGTATGTATGTGTGTAATAACTCAAATTTCTTGCTGCTCAGTTGGCTTTATTCGGCTGCTGGGGTTGAGATGTGGATTTTTCAGTGTTGAATTCTGGACAGTTCAATAAGATCATCCAGATCCAAACTATAGTATCAAAACTTGAGGATATCATTCTGCTCTGAACAGGGTTAACCTCTAGAACTGAATTTACATGCACATTCGCTTTTACCCAAACTCTGAGTTGGTATGAGGAGAGGAAATATGCAGAAGCCAAGGGAGATGTTGGAGCAGAAAAAAACATTTGCCACATTCATGGACTTACACAGCTAAACTTAAAATAAGCAGTATTCCGACAAACATTTAGCAAATCAGAAATGTAAGCTAAATAAAATACAGCTATATTGTATGTACCTTCTGCAACAAGATAATAAAATACACTCTCTTTGTTTTACTAAAAATAAATCCTGTGTTAATTCTTAACTGTATTGTAATTGACCCACTGACAGCAGTTGAGTTCAGTCTTAATTTATGCTGCACTGAGTACTTAGAAGAATAAGGCCCTGAGTCTTGATTTCACAGTTAATGCACTGGGAACAAATGTTTGAATAGAAGAATCACATTTTGGCTTAAGTGTACAGTTCCAAGCCTTGTGTGTGTAAACAATCCCACATTTCCATGGATAGTTCCCCTGAAGAGAATGGAATTTCTCCCCCTGCCAAAAATTTCTCAGATACAAATTTTTGGAGTCAGGCCCACAATGAGCTGTAATTAAGATTCAGAAAAAAGAAAAGAAAGGCAAACAGTGCTGGGGTGGATCCAAAGCGGGTACAGTGGTGTGGCTGGCAGCCCCTTTTCAGACTGGACTGTGCTACTGGAGTCTCTGGGGACTTTAAAAATGCCCCAAAGTAGAAGAGTGTAGGTTGTAGCCGTGTTGGTCTAAGGACATAGGCAGACAAGGTTCTTTGGGTGAATCTGATATCTTTTATTAGACCAACTTAAATAGTTGGAAAACAATTATTAAGCAAGCTTTGGGGTTCAAAAACCCTTTGTCAGGCTGAGGAAGTTTCAGCAGTTGGTGTGTGCTCTTCCTGGATGGAATGAAAAGTAAAGAAGCCAGAGCCTGGGGTGGTCTGCATACAAGACAGGCAGTCAGTGAAAATGTAGACTGAGGAGTCAATGGGTAAGAGACAGGCTGGAGGGGGTGGGGAGAGAGAGAAGGGGGATGAATAGTGGAGAGAGATCTGACTTCCCAGGTGTCAGGGAGGTTGTGTCATAAATCCAATGTCCATATTTAGTCCATGATATTTAGTATCCAGGAGGTTGATGAAGTGGAGTTCATAGGCTCGTCTCTGGGAAGAGTTTTGTAAGTTTCCTTTGAGGATCTGGACTGAGAGATTGGAGAGAGAGT